ACAGTGTGTGAGTGGAGTCAAGGGATTTGTAATAGATATGTATGATATGGGGGGGAAATGGGGCGGCAGATTGGGGGAGGGGGGTTGTCACTTTGAGGGGTAAAAAGTATAACTATTGCACTGTGTTGTACAGCTGAAACTAATTCTAAAAAGTGTGTATTTCATAGTAAAAAATAAAAAATAAAAAAAAACAAAAAAGAAAGAAATAGTACCAATCCAACACAAACTCTTTCAGAAAACAGGAAAGAGTACTTACCCAACTCATTTTATGAGGCCATTATCACCCTGATGCTAAAGCCAGGCAAAAACATCACAAGAAAACTACAGACCAATTATTCCTATGAGCATAGATACAAACATCCTTAACATATGATTAGCAAACCAAATCCAGCAACAAATTAGAAAGGCACATGTATACACCACAGCCAAGTGGGATTTATCTCAAGAATGAAAGGTTGATTTAATATTTGAAAATCAACTAATGTAATATATGACTAGAACGAAGAAAAAAAAACGTAAGGCCACTTCAACAGAGAAAAGCATTTGAGAAAAATCCAACTCCAACTCACGATAAGAACTCTCAACAAACTAGGAATAGAAGGAAACTTTCTCAACCTGATAAAGGGCATCTATGAAGACATCATACTCAACAGTGTTAAGACTAAATGCTTTACCACTAAGATTAGAAACAAGGTAAGGATATCTGCTTTCACCACTACTATTCAACACGTACCGGAGGTTCTAGTCAGTGCAATAAGGCAAGAAAAAGAAAAAGACATCTAGATCAGAAAGGAAAAAGTAAAACTGTCCTTATCTGCAGACAACATGACTGTATGTATTTTCTACAAAAGCCACTAGAACTGGTAACTAAGTATAACAATGTCACAGGACACAGGGTCAACATACAACACAAGGTCAGGCCCAGAAAGCGCCCCACCACTCAGCCATTCTCACACAAGGGCTGTCTTCCTATGGCATTTAAGTCCTGAAGCAACTCCTCTCTGAGTCTCTGGCACATTTGGTTTTCTAGAACCAATCCTGTTTGTTAGTTTGTTTTGAACCTTGACTCCCAAATGGATGGTTTTACTTTGAGCTGGCTGGGTGTCTCTGGGCAGATCAGCGACACTATCTGACTCATTTCTGACCCCAGCAATGCTGAGCAGTGTGAAACCCTGTTAGTTAGTATGTACAGTATCATCACATTTAATCCTCGTCATAACCCTGCAACAAAGGCATGGTTACCATCCTCATCCTTCAGGTGAAGTAAAAGGAGGTGGGTTGGCAAGCCGCCTCCGACCCGCCCTGCCTGTTTTAGCAAGAGGAAAGGCACCATCTTCTGACAGGGCACCAGGCTAGAAGGCTAAGCCCCTAGGGAGGATTGGCTGCTCTGTTGTTCACCCTGAGAGAAGGTAAGGCCCCAAAGCATAACCATTTCTGTGGCTGGAAAAGTTTTGGCCAAGAGGTCGCAGGAGGAAGCGAGAACGCAAAAGGCTTTTGCGGCAGGCACACTGGGACACAGGCCCAGCTATGACCCTCACTGGTGGCTGAGCTGAAGCAAGTTCCACTCAACTCCAATTTCCTCTTCCAGAAACCAATGCAAAAATGAGCACCCATCTCATGGTACAGGTGGGAAGACAGATATTTAAGCGATCAGCACACTGAAACTTTTAAGGCGTTGCTCTGGAAGGTGCCTACAGCTTGGAAAAA